TGGGGACAGGGATGTGGAATAGGGACAGGGATGTGGGGATGGGAGGAGGGAATGGGGACAGGGATGTGGGGATGGGAGGAAGGAATGGGGACAGGGATGTGGGGATGGGAGGAGGGAATGGGGACAGGGATGTGGAATAGGGACAGGGATGTGGGGATGGGAGGAAGGAATGGGGACAGGGATGTGGGGATGGGAGGAGGGAATGGGGACAGGGATGTGGGGCTGGAGCTGGGGACATAGGGCTGGGGATGGGGACGTGGAGATGGGGATGTGGGGCTGGGTGCATCACCCCTTCCCCTCCCTGGGGACCCCCGGATTCCCCCACATCCCAACCCTGCTCCCTGCCCCACACAGGTACCAGCTCCGTAAGATCGCAGTGGACAACGCGGCGGGGCCGTGGGGCAACCACACCGTGGTGTTCCTGGGCTCCAGCACCGGCACCGTGCTCAAGTTCCTCATCCTGCCCAACGCCACCAGCAGCCCCGCGCCCACCGCCCCCGGCAGCCAAAGCGTCTTCCTGGAGGAGTTTGAGACCTACCAGCCCGGGAGGTGAGTGCCAGGGGGGCAGAGGAAGGAGAGGGGCAGTGAAAGGGGTGGGTGGGGTGCATGGATGGATGGATGATGGATGGATGGATGATGGATGGATGGATGGATGGATGGATGGATGGTGGATGGAGGGGATGGATGAGGGGAACGCAAGGCCAGGAGGAACGATTGAGAGAATCTCCTCTGGACTGGGCCAGGCTCTATGGAGGGCCCTGTGGCCCAGGGCTGGGGCTTTGATGAGCTCTGCCCTGTCCCCAGGTGTGGCCGGGACACAGAGGACGAGCGACGGCTCCTGGGGCTGGAGCTGGACAAGGCTGCGGGCTCCCTGCTGCTGGCCTTCCCCCCGTGCGTGGCCAGGGTGCCCGTGGCTCGCTGCCAGCAGCACTCGGGCTGCATGAAGTGAGTGCCTGGGGCTGGGCAGGGCTGGCCGGTGGGGGCTCACATCACCTCACATCCCAGGAATTCACCCTGTGCTGGACAGGGCTCAGCACAGAGTGTGGCTGGGGAAACTGAGGCACAGCACGGGGTGGGGACAGAGTCTGTTGCGGGGGCCGGGGTGTTGTGTCCCCCCATCGGGGCTGGCCCTGATGTCTCTGCTCCCTGCCAGGAACTGCCTGGGGAGCCGGGATCCCTACTGTGGCTGGACACCCGAGGGCTCCTGCATCTTCCTGGAGCCCAGCCCCAGGTAACGCTGCCAGGCCCGGGGGCATGCGGGGGACAGCGGTGTCCCCAGAGAGCACTGGCTCCTGCAGCTCCCCCCGGCGAACTCACAGCTCGCTGAAGGGGGCTGGGAGACTCTGCCAGGCCATTTGGCACCCACCGACCCCCCAATTTTCACCCCAGGGCGGCCTTCGAGCAGGACATCGCCGGCGGCAGCACGTCCCACCTGGGCGAGTGCGAGGGTGAGTGCGGGGCCGGGACCGGGCTCGGCGACGTGGTGGTGGCACCCGCAGGTGCCCTGACGCGTCCCCAACGCCAGGGCTGGTGACGGAGAGCTTCGTGGACGAGCCGGACGGGCTGGTGTCGGTGAACCTCCTGGTGATCTCCTCCGTCGCCGCCTTCGTCATCGGCGCCGTGATCTCCGGTTTCAGCGTGTGCTGGTTCATCGGGCACCGGGACCGCAAGGAGCTGGCGCGGCGCAAGGACAAGGAGACGATCCTGGCGCACAGTGAGTCGGTGGTGAGCGTCAGCCGCCTGGGCGAGCGGCGGGCTCGCGGCGCCCTGCTGGCCCCGCTGATGCCCAACGGGTGGCCCAAGGAGCTGGGCAAGGTCACCCAACACGACCTGGACTCGGGGGTGCTGCCCACGCCGGAGCAGACCCCGCTGCAGCAGAAACGCTGCCCCGGAGCCCTCCAAAACTGCACCTGGGAGCAGAGTCACAACATCATCAACGCGGCTTTGCGGGACCCTGGCGGCTCCGGGCCCGCGGGCGCCGGGCGGGGGCACGGCGGCTCCGGCCGCCCGCCGCGGGGCATCCCCCTCTCCTGCCACGCCATCCTGGTGGACCAGGAGCTGGAGGCCGAACTCAGCGACTCCTCAGGGGACGGGCATTGGGCTCGAGAGCCTCAGGAGGGTCCCCGCACCCGGCAGCACCCGCCCGCCGGGGCCCGCCGCCCGCCCCGCAGCTCCTACGGCGACTTCGGCGGGACGCCGCACCCCAGCCCCGAGCGCCGGCGGGTGGTCTCGGCACCCAGCGGGGACGGGGGAGACTTTACCGAGGGGCCGCCCTGGCACCCCGAGCAGCTGAACTTCAACGCCAACAACGGCACGGGCCGCCCCGGCGCCCACCTCAAGAGGAACCACACGTTCAACAGCGGCGAGGCGGCGGCGGGCGGCTACGGGCGGCACGGGACGGCGGCGCGGGCAGCGCGGGCACCGGGCACCCCGCGGCCGCTGACGGACCTGCAGCACCTCCTGCGCTACGGCGTGGAGCGGACTCCCTCGGGGAAATAGGGTCCCACCGTGTGCGCGTCCCCCTGGCCAGGACACCGATGGGGGCCCCGGCTCCCCGGGGACAGCGAGGGGTGGCCGGGCAGGAGCTGCGGGCAGGGGGTGCGGTGCTGCAGGGGTGAGGGGGGCTCAGGCACCCCTGGGTGCCCCCGGAGAGGGTTTGGGGGTGTGCCCGGCTGGCGTGGGGCAGTGCCCTGCGCTCCGGCTGCGTTGTCCCACCGTGTCCCCTCCCCAGGCTGGAGGGGCATCCCCGGGGGGCAGCGGGATGGACACACGGACACGGGCACCGGGCTGTGCCCCCCAGCCCGCAGCGGCACCCGGGGGGCCTTTTGGGTGCTGCCAGCCCCCTGGGGACACCCGGCCGGGGGTGCACTGGTTGTGGTGATGGAACCTGGTGAACGTTTTGGGTGCGGGGGGCTGGGGGCCCCCCGAATGTGGCGTTTTCTGGGGATGGGACACACTCCCACCCCCAGGCTGGGGTCAGCCCTTTCCCAGTGCCAGCCTGGGGGTTGCCCACCCTTCCCCTCCCCCGGCACCCCCTCCTGGAAAGCACAGCCGGGGTGGGGGAGCACCGCGGGGGGGTCCCCACCGAGCCCACTCTCTGCTGGCAAAGGGTGCCCTTTCGGTGCCACCCCTGCCCGGCACCCACCCGGGGTGGCGTGTCGCGGGGGAGTGGCGGGTCCCCGGGGGATGGCGGGTCCCCAGGGGGTGGCAGGCTGTAAATAGGGCAGGGGGCGGCGGGAGCCACCCCCTCCCCCCAGCGGCCATGCATGCGGCCGCCCGCGGGCTGTACCCCGCGGCCCCAATAAACACCCGGTTACCGGAGGCGACTCCCCCGCCGCCGCCTCGGCGCCTTCTGAACCCCCCCGGGAGCCGGGAGCGGCCGGGGAAGGGGGCACAGGGCTGGGGGGGCACAGGGGGCACAGGGCTGGCACAGGGCTGGGGGGCACAGGGGGGCACAGGGCTGGGGGGCACAAGTGGCACAGGGCTGGGGGGCACAGGGGGGCACAGGGCTGGGGGGCACAAGTGGCACAGGGCTGGGGGGCACAGGGGGGCACAGGGCTGGGGGGCACAAGTGGCACAGGGCTGGGGGGCACAGGGGGGCACAGGGCTGGGGGGCACAAGTGGCACAGGGCTGGGGGGCACAGGGGGGCACAGGGCTGGGGGGCACAAGTGGCACAGGGCTGGGGGGCACAGGGGGGCACAGGGCTGGGGGGCACAAGTGGCACAGGGCTGGGGGGCACAGGGGGGCACAGGGCTGGGGGGCACAAGTGGCACAGGGCTGGGGGGCACAGGGGGGCACAGGGCTGGGGGGCACAAGTGGCACAGGGCTGGGGGGCACAGGGGGGCACAGGGCTGGGGGGCACAAGTGGCACAGGGCTGGGGGGCACAGGGGGGCACAGGGCTGGGGGGCACAAGTGGCACAGGGCTGGGGGGCACAGGGGGGCACAGGGCTGGGGGGCACAAGTGGCACAGGGCTGGGGGGCACAGGGGGGCACAGGGCTGGGGGGCACAAGTGGCACAGGGCTGGGGGGCACAGGGGGGCACAGGGCTGGGGGGCACAAGTGGCACAGGGCTGGGGGGCACAGGGGGGCACAGGGCTGGGGGGCACAAGTGGCACAGGGCTGGGGGGCACAGGGGGGCACAGGGCTGGGGGGCACAAGTGGCACAGGGCTGGGGGGCACAGGGGGGCACAGGGCTGGGGGGCACAAGTGGCACAGGGCTGGGGGGCACAGGGGGGCACAGGGCTGGGGGGCACAAGTGGCACAGGGCTGGGGGGCACAGGGGGGCACAGGGCTGGGGGGCACAGGTGGCACCCCCTCCGTGGGCACCCGCGCAGCCCAGCGCACACACACGCACCCCCCGCGTTCTGCCCCTCCCGCGCCCCCGGCCCCACGCGGGTTCCCATCCCATTTCCCCACGGATTCCCCTGGGATAAGGAGGTGCCCCTGCCCGTGCCACCCCACACCCGCCGTGTACCTGCCTGTCCCCTTTCCTCGCCCCCCGAGGCCACCCACGGGGGTCACCCACGGCCCTCTGTCCCCTGGCCTGAGCACTCTGAGGGGCTCTGGTGGCACGGGGACACCTGGGGTGGGGACACCTGGCAAAGGGACGCTTGAAGTGGCGATACTTGGCGGGGGCACGCCTGGCTTTGGGTCCCGTGGGGTTGGGGACGCCAATCATTGGGTCCCTTGGCGTGGGGACACCAGGGGTGGGGACATCTGGCGTGGGGACACCTGGGCTGGCGGCTGGCGGTGTCTCCTGGAGTTGGTTCACCTGGGATGGGGACACTCGGGGAGGGTGGGGACAGCGGCCATTGAGTCCCTTGAGGTGGGAACAAGTGGCAAGGGCACACGTGGCAAGGGGACACCTGCGATGGGGACACCGGGAGGAGGGGATAACGGGGGTGGGGACACCTGCAGCGGGGGTGGGACAGCGGCCACGGGGGTGGGGACACCGGCCACGGGGTGCCTCGGCGCGGGGACACCTGAGAGGCGGCCGGGGGCTCGTTTCTCACGATGTCCCCCCGCTGTCCCCGCACCCCGCGACCAGCGCGCCCCAGCCCCAACCCACGCCCCGGCCACGCCCATCACTCCTCATTGGCGGCGATCCGGCCCCGCCCCTTCTCTGATTGGCTGCCGCCGCTCCCCGCGGTCCGGGCTGGGCGGGGCCCGGGGTCGCGGTCTCGCCCGGGGGTCGCGGCAGAGCCGCCCCCAGCCCGTGAGTTCCGTGCCCGGGGCTCGGCGGGAGCGGCAGGCGGGCAGCGGGGCCGGGCCGGCCCGCCAGGCTCCGGAAAGGCTCCGCGAGGGGCTCCAGGTGCTCCCGGGGGCAGTCCGGAGGTCCCCCGGGGGCCTCCGGGGGGTGCGGGGGAGGGCGGGGGTCCCAAGGTCCCCGGAGCACCCCAGGGACACCAGAGGGACACCCCGAGAAACTCCAGGGAACAGCCGAGGGTCCCAGGGGACCTGTCCACGCAGTGACCTGCCTGGAGCCCCCCGAATCCCCCCGGAGAGCACAGGGCCAGGCCGGGGGTGCTGCGGGAGACCCCAGAGGGCAGAGGGGCTGCCGAGGGCCAGGGGGGGCTGCCAGGGACCAGGGGTTCTGCCGGGGGCCCGGGGGGTCTGCCGGGGCTCGGATCCCTGCGGGGCCCGGGGGCTGCCCCGGCCGAGCGGCGGTGACCGGCGGTGGCGGGCGGTGGCGGGCGGTGGCGGGCGGTGACCGGCGGCACGTCCTCAGCCCGGGGATTGCGACAGACGAGTCCAGTCTGGCTTTGCTGAATCACCCAAAAACTCCTCCCCGACCCAAAAGGGGGTGTGGGGGTCCCGGAGGGGGTAGGGGGGGTCCAAGAGGAGTTGAGGGGACCCAGTCCCCCCGTTTCCTGGCAGGGGAGAAGGCCAAGCCCATCCCAAAATCCCTTTCTGACGCCCCAAAACACCCCTGAGAGCCCCTCAGAACCCGCCAGCTGCTCCCACTCGGGTCATGGGTTGGTGGCTCTCAGCCTGCTGGGAGCAGGGGCTGGGGGTGTCATCCCCAGGGGGGGCCCCACCAGCCTCACCCACCCACGGCACCCCAAAATCTCCCTCTTCCCTCTGCAGCCGCCGTGGCCATGTCGGCCGAAAGCGCCGCGGTGCCGGCCGAGCCCGGGCCGGAGACGCAGGTAGGGGTGCAGGAGGGTTCAGGGGGGGCTGCGGGAGGCCCTGGGGACCCCATCTTATTGTTCCCCACCCTCAGAGCGTGGTGAGCCGCGTGGCCGGCCTGCCCCTGGTGAGCTGTGCCCGCGGGGCCGTGGCCTCGGCGTACGGGCGCGCCAAGGAGCGGCTGCCCTGCGTGCGCTCCGTGTGCGATGCTGCCGAGAAGGGCGTGAGGACACTGACAGCGGCAGCGGCCAGCGGGGCCCGGCCCCTCCTCACCCGCCTGGAGCCCCAGAGTGAGTGTGGGGAGCGGGCACAGCACCCCACAGGGGTGGGGGAACCCAAAACTGGCTCTCGCCGAGCCCTCGTGAGGAGCCAGGACAGGGAGGATCTGGTTTCACACCTCCAGTTTGTCTCAGCAATGAATAAACGGCTGGAGAAGCTGGAGAGTTGGAGGGGAAACACCCCACAAGTTTTGGGATACCCCAAAAAACTGCCCTGGCAGAGCTCCTGCAAGGCAGCAGGGTCCTAAACCCACCTCTCTTCACATCTCCAGTTTCCACCGCCAACAAGTTGGCCTGCAGAGGGCTGGACAAGCTGGAGGAGAAGCTGCCCATCCTGCAGCAGCCCCCCGAGAGGGTAACGCCGCCCGGGGGACGCGGGCAGGGCCCGGCGCCCGCCGAGGAGCGGGGACGAGCTGTCCTTGCGCTGTCCCCTGCCAGGTGGTGGCCGGCACCAGGGAGCTGGTGTGGTGCACGGTGAGCGGGGCGGCGGCCAGGACGCGCGCGGCGCTCGGGGCCGCGGGGGGCACGCGCCTGGGGCGGCTGCTGGCCACGGGCGCGGACGCCGTGCTGGGCAAGTCAGAGGAGCTGCTGGATCGGTACCTCCCCGCGGCGGACGAGGAGCTGGGTGAGTGCCCACCATCTCCCAAATCTCGGGGTGCCAGGCACTTCCTGGGACCCTCACCCTGCTGCTCAGACTTGGCATTGGCTGCAGGTGGTGGCCCCACAGTGGTGCCAGAGCACTGAGGCCACCATGACCCCACGCAGGGGACGGTCCCTGTCTGAAGGACATGGATGGCTCTGGGTGAACTCTCACCTGGAAACCCAAGAGCAAATATAGACCCGTGTGCCCGGCTGGGTATTTATAGCTTGGCACTGGGTGACATTAGGCAGAGCTGGCCCCGTGTCACAGCTGAGGTGACCGCAGAGGCCACCTGGCACTTAGGGTGGCATCTGCACATGACCTGGTGGCCAAGCATCCTGTGGGTGCTCCAGTGCCCAGCACGGGATGGCCCAGCCACGCTGCCCTCACCCCTGGTTCCACAGCGGCGGCAGCAGGCACAGAGGTGACCACGGGCACGGAGGTGACCACAGGCACAGAGGTGACCACGGGCATGGAGATGACCACGGGCACGGAGATGACCAGGGGCACGGAGGTAACCACGAGCACGGAAGTGACTACAGGCACAGAGGTGACCACGGGCACAGAGGTGGACACGGGCATGGAGATCACCAGGGGCACGGAGGTGACCACAGGCAGAGGGGTGACCGGGGGCATGGAGGTGACCACGGGCACGGAGGTGACCAGGGACACAGAGGTGACCAGGGGCACGGAGGTGACCAGGGGCACGGAGGTGGCCACGCAGGAGCGGCAGAGGCGGTGGCAGAGCTACTTTGTCCGCGTGGGCTCCCTGACAGCCAGGCTGCCCCACCGGGCCCTGCGGCGCTCGCTGGGGGACCTGCAGCGGGCACGGCTCCGTGCCCAGCGGCTCCTGGCCCAGCTCCACCACGTCATCCGGCTGGTAAGGATGGGGCAGGGACCGTGCCAGCCCCGTGCCGGCCCCAGGCACCCCCAGGTGTGCTCCCACCTGGCTGAACCTCCCCCCAGATCGAGGAGGGGCAGCAGGGCACGGACGGGCCCTGGCACAGCACCCGGGAGCACCTGCACCACCTGTGGCTGGAGTGGAGCCAGCAGGATGCCGTGCCCATGGAGGACAACGAGGTACGGCGTGCAGGGACCGTGGGGGACGGATGGCTCCGTCTGGAGAGGGTGGGGACAGCGGCCATTGAGTCCCTTGAGGTGGGGACACGTGGCAAGGGGACACCTGGGGTGGTGACACCTGGAGCAGGGGGGGAGCAGCAGCCACGGAGTCCAGCTGTGGGTCCATCCAGCTGTGGGTCCATCCAGCCATGGAGTCCAGCTGTGGATCCATTCCATCCAGCTGTGGGTCCATTCCATCCAGCTGTGGGTCCATCCAGCTGTGGGTCCATCCCGCTGTGGGTCCACCACCCCCAGCCCCTGCTGCCCGCTGCCCACCCCGCAGGTGGAGGCTCGGACCCTGGCCATGCTCCACGGGCTCCTGCACCAGCTCCACGGCGCCTGCTCCCACCTGGCCAGCGGTGCCCGGGCGTTCCCCAGCAGCGTGCAGGAGACGGCGGGACACGTCCGGCACGGCGTGGAGGGCGTCCAGGCTTCCCTGGCCGGCGCCCGCTCCTTCCAGGACCTGTCGGGGCTGGTGCTGGCGCAGAGCCGGGACGCGGTGACGCGGGCCCAGCTGAGCCTGGAGGGGCTGCTGGAGCACGTGGGGCAGCACACGCCCCTGCCCTGGCTCGTGGGACCTTTCGCCCCCGCGCTGGTGGAGTACCCCGAGGATGTGCCGGTGGATATGTCCAAGTGGGAGGGCTGTGTCACCGTGGGGGGGACGCACCGGGTGCCCCATGCCCCCCAGCTCTGCGGCCAGCACTGAGGCACTGGTGCTGCTGGGCTAGGGGAGCACCCACCCAGAGGCACGGACCCCAATCCCACCGGGAATGAGGGAGTGATGGACTCGGTGACCCGGCGTGGGACCCCAGTGTCGCGGCCGGGGACTGCTGTGGGGATGGTGGCACGTGGAGGACACGGTGTGAGTCTGTCTGGGATCCAGCACTGCCCCAAGCCCCGGGAATACTGGAATTTCATGTCTTAACAGCTTCAAACCAGTTTAAAGAGGAAGAAAACAACTTTTTTGGCCTTAAAATGACTCGGAGCCTGCAGTGCTGTGGCAGAGCCACCGTGCCGGGCTCGCCGGGGGGCTCTGCACGGGCGGCAGAGCCGGGGGCACCCCCGAGGGGGCTCAGTAAGGGGTGCCAGGGTGGGACAGTGGGACGGGGTTCCACGGGGTACTGGGAGAGAGGGTGCCACAAGGTGCCAGGACATCTGGACTGTGACCCGCAGCCGTGTGGCACTGAACTTTGTCCCACTTGTCACCGTGGAGGGGCTGGGCCTGCCCCGGGATATCCCCGACGTCACAATCACCGCGTGGTCACAGCACCCGGTGGGGCGACCCGGGCACCCCAGGACCGTCCATCGTCCCGCCGCCGGAACAACACCGGGGCCAGCTGGACCAATTCCACCGGGCCAGGTGCGGGCGAGCACCCCTCGGGAGGGGAGGGGACACTCGGGAGGCTCGGGGCCGGGTCTGTCCCGGGGGATCGGTGCCTCGGGGCGCGGGGGGGCTCCCGTTCCGGGCTCGGGGTGTCACTGCGGCCGGATCCCGGGGAACCGCGTCGGTGTACGCCGGTCCTGGGGGGCTCAGCGCAGCCCAGTCCCGGGGGCTCCGGTACCGGGAGGGGGGGGGCAGTGCAGCACCGACCGAGGAATGGGGTCCCGGGGGGCTCAGCGCAGCCCAGTCCCGGCGGATCCGGTGCTGGGCCCGGGACTCGGTGCAGGCGGTTCCCGGGGGTTCGCTGCCCTCCCACCCCCGCTCCCCGCCGGTCGCTGCTCCCGGTCCGCCCCGGGCCGGCCCCGCTGGGCGGCTCCGGTCACATGCGCTCGGGGCGGGCTCCGGGCTATAAAGGGCGGCGGGGAGGAGCGGGGCGAGCCCGGAGCCGAACCGAGCGGAGCAGAACCGAGCCCAGCGCCAGCGGTGAGCACGATCGGGGCCGGCCCGCGACCCTGGTTCCGATCCCGATTGCGATCCCGGTTCCGATCCCGATTGCGATCCCAGTTCCGATCGCAAACTCGGTCCTGTTCCCGATCGAGATCCCCGTCCTGTTCCCGATGGCAATCTCGGTCCCGGTCCCGATCCCGGCCGCGACCCCGATCCCGATCCCTCCTGTGATCCCGATCGTGATCCCGGTCCCCGGGACCCCCCTGTCCCGGGATTTTGCAACCGCGCGGGAGCTGCCCCGTTGCGGGGAGCGGTGACTCGGGGTCCTCCCTTGGAGAGGCAGGAGGGGGCGCTGGGGGGGCTGACCCCGCTCACGCTCCCGTCCTGTGCCCGCAGCCCCACCATGGCCACCAGCGAGCCCACGCCGGCGCAGCCCCAGGCAGAGGAGCAGCAGGTCAGTGCGGGCAAGGCGGGGAATTTGGGGGCAATCCACGGGGTCCCTGCTTGGAGACGGGGATCGGGGTTATCCCACCCTCCGATGGCCTTGGAGTGCCGCGGGAGCACCCCAAAACCATCCCCAGGCTGCTGGGAACACCCAGCACACCCCATTCCCTGTGAGATTTGGGGGTTCCTCACGCTCACGCCGAGCCCTTCTGGCCCCCCAGAGCATCGGGACACGCGTGGCCAACCTGCCCCTGGTGAGCTCTGCTTACGACATGGTGTCCTCCGCCTACTCCTGCACCAAGGAGAGCCACCCCTACGTGCGCTCCGTGTGCGATGCTGCCGAGAAGGGCGTGAGGACACTGACAGCGGCAGCGGCCAGCGGGGCCCAGCCCCTCCTCACCCGCCTGGAGCCCCAGAGTGAGTGTGGGGAGCGGGCACAGCACCCCACGGGGCTGGGGGAGCCCAAAACTGGCTCTCGCCGAGCTCTGGTGAGGAGCCAGGGGAGGGAGGATCTGGTTTTGTGTCTCTGGTTTGTACGGCTGAGGAGTAAACAGCTGGAGAAGCTGGAAGAAAAGATGTGGGGGCAGCACCCCCTGAATTTTGGGGCGATGGGCAATTGGCCCTGGCAGCGCTCCTGCAAGGCAGCAGGGTGCTAAACACACCTCTTTTTCCATCTCCAGTTTCCACCGCCAATGAATTTGCCTGCAAAGGGCTGGACAAGCTGGAGGAGAAGCTGCCCATCCTGCAGCAGCCCCCCGAGAAGGTACCGGGCTGGGCTGGGCAGCACACCCGGGGCCCCCCAGTGCTTAACAGAGGTTTGTGTGTCCACCCAGATCATCTCAGACACCAAACTGCTGGTGACCTCCACGGTGACGGGGGCCAGGGATGTGCTGACCAGCACGGTGGATGGAGCCAAGGATGCAGTGACCAGCCGAGTGACCGGGGCTAAGGATGCAGTGTCCAGCACCGTGGCTGGAGCTAAAGATGCAGTGTCCAGCACAGTGGCTGGGGCCAAGGATGCCATGTCTAACACCATGGCCGGGGCCAAGGACGCAGTGTCCAGCACTGTGGCCGGAGCCAAGGATGCAGTGTCCAACCGAGTGACCGGAGCCAAGGATGCAGTGTCCAGCACCGTGGCCGGAGCCAAGGATGCAGTGTCCAGCACTGTGGCTGGGGCCAAGGACGCAGTGTCCAACCGAGTGACCGGAGCCAAAGATGCAGTGTCCAGCACCGTGGCCGGAGCTAAGGATGCAGTGTCCAGCACCGTGGCTGGAGCCAAGGATGCAGTGTCCAACCGAGTGACCGGGGCCAAGGATGCAGTGTCCAGCACCGTGGCCGGAGCTAAGGATGCAGTGTCCAGCACCGTGGCTGGAGCCAAGGATGCAGTGTCCAGCCGAGTGACCGGTGTGATGGACATGACCAAAGGGGCAGTGCAGGGTGGCGTGGAGCTGACCAGGTCTGCGGTCAGCAGCGGCGTCAGCACCGTGGGCCAGATGGTGGCCAGTGGGGTGGACTCCGTGCTGGGCAAGTCGGAGGAGCTGGTGGACCATTACCTGCCCATGACAGATGAGGAGCTGGGTGAGCAGCTGCTCCCAACCCCGCGGGGCAGAGCCTGGGCAGAGCAGGGGAGGCTCTGTGGGGTGGTGCTGGTGGGGCTGGGACCCCCCTGAGCAGCTCCTGTCCCACAGCCAAGCTGGCCACGGCCGTGGAGGGCTTCGAGCCGGAGCAGCAGCGGCAGCAGCACAGCTACTTCGTGCGCCTGGGCTCCCTCTCCTCCAAGGTGCGGCAGCGAGCGCTCCAGCACTCCCTGGGCAAGCTGCAGAGCGCCCGCCAGACCAGCCAGGACCTGCTGGCCCAGCTCCAGCGCACCCTCGACCTGGTAGGACCCAGCCCCCCGCCCCCTGTGCCACCCCGGGGTGTCCCCTGGTGGCCCCCCCACCCAGCCGGGCTGTGCCCCTCTCCCAGGTGGAGCAACTGAAGCAGGGCATGGACCAGAAGCTGCAGGGAGGGCAGGAGAAGCTGCAGCAGCTGTGGCTGGAGTGGAGCAAGACGCAGCCGGGCAGTGGCAAGGACCAGGTGCCACCAGAGGTAGGAGCAGGGCAGGGGGTCCCCAGGGTGAGCCGGGGTGTCCCCCAGGCCTCACCCCCCGTGTCCCCCCGCAGGCTGTGGAGTCGGGCGTGTTGACCAGGCTGCAGGGCTTGAGCCAGCAGCTGCAGAAGTGCTTTCCCCTGGTGTCCAGCAGCCTGCAGGGCCTCCCCAGCACCGTCCAGGACACGGCGGGGCAGGTCCGGCACAACATGGAGGAGCTGCGGGCAACGCTGGCCTCTGTCACCTCCCTGCAGGACGTGACAAGCTCCATGCTGGCCCAGGCCCGCAGCCACGCCATGAAAGCCCGGCAGCTGATGGACGAGCTGGTGGAGCACGTGGCCTTCAACACCCCCCTGACGTGGCTGGTGGGACCCTTCGTCCCCTCGGGCAAGCGCCAGGTGGAGCTGGAGTAGCAATCCCTGGCTGCTCCCCTCCCCAAAAAGCCTCGTTAGGAGCCTTTGCCAAACCCCCCCAGCCCCCCTCACCTTGTGCCTGCCTCTGTGGGGACCCTCCTGCCTGCCCCAGCTCTGTCCCCTTGCTGGAGACCTGCAGTTATGTGCCTTGGCTGCCCCAAGTGCCTCTTGGGGGTCCCCCACGTCCTCGGTGCCTTCAAACCCCCACCTTTGTAGGGTCAGAACACCACAAGAAACAATAAACTCTGGTTAGTTTTGCACTGAGCGGCGGTTTCTTTGGGGGTGTGGGAGGGAGGAACAGGGCACTGGAGGAACAACCCCCTCCCCAAGATCTGGGGACCCCCATGTCCTGTCCTGAGCCCCCATTCCCCTGACAGCCCCCCCAGCTGTCCCTCCCTGTGGGAGCAGAGGAGCTGGCAGTGGGATCAGGAGTTGGGTCCTGGAGGGGACCTCTCACTTCCCAGCAGTTGGGCAAGGGGCACTGGGGATGGTTTGGGCTTTATTTGGGTCTGGTTTATGGAGGGAGTGTGAAATCAGTGCTGGAAAAAGAAAAAGGAAAGCGTCTCCAGGGCAGAGTTACTGCAGCCTGTGAGGGGGGGTCAGGGCATCCTCCCCCGGGGGTCGGCACAAAGAGCAGGGTGGGGCTGGGAGCTCTTTATTGGACACGGACAAAAGCCCTGGAGCCTTGCAACAGAGCAAAGAGCAACACTGAGCTGCTGCCCAGCATGGGCAGGGTGGTGCCAGGGTGAGTCCCTCCCTGGCACAGTCAGGAGAGAACACACCCTTTTTACCCTTATTTTACCCCAAGAAGTTGGTGCCCACCCCTGGGGCAGAGGGATCCGGCTCCAGCAGCTGCCTCTGGATGGGGAGAGGATCATGATAGTGGGGAAAGGGGCTTGGAGCAGCCCCTGAGTGCCTGATCCTGGTCAGAGGGAATTTGGGGACCCATGGGGTGTTCTCCAGCCCTGACCCTGGGCAGGGGGTTAAGGTTCTCCCCTCGTCCCAGCCAGAGATGCCTCAACAAAGAGACACTGGTGTTCCTTCTGTTTTTCATTAGAAAACCCTTTATATTCATTTCATGTCGGTTGAAATCACAAGAAATTAGGTAGGAGGGAAAAAAAAACCAAACAAAACAAAACGAAACTTAAAAACAGGGGGGGAGGGGGACAAATACAGACACCAGCACAGCCCCCCCACGGGTGGTGCCTCCGCAGGGACAGGACACGGGACAAGACCAAGGACATCGGCTACGGGGGGACTGGGTGAAGTGACTCAGGCAGGGGAGAGGCAGAGGCTGCTCTCCCTTCACAGCCCTCCTCCTCCTCCTCCTTCAGGTGGGAGCTGCTTCCTCAGCTCTCCTCCTCCTCCTCCTCATCCGCAGCCTCCCCGCGGGCTCGCTCCAGCCCGGCCTTGGGATAGTCCTGGACACTGCTGGGGGAGAGCAGGGGCAGGGAGAGCTCAGCCCCCCGCCCCTCTGCCTCCCCTGGCCCCTCTCCCACATCCCAGCTCCTTCCCAAGCTGGGAGAACGCTGTCTCAGCCCACTGGATGTCCCCAGATCATCCCTGCAGTGATCACAGGGGCCTGCAGCCCCCAGCCCTGTCCCCCACACTCACTTGTTGTGGGGCTCCTCTGTGGATGCCTCCAGCTCCCCAGCTCCTGGCCCTTGGCTCTTGTCCTTCTCCTCTGTGCCCTCTGACTTCTGGGACAGGGATTCACCATTCACAGGACCTGACAGGTCTGATGGGAAGAGAGAGAGGCTCAGGCTCTTGGACCCCCTCATCCATCCCGACCCTCGTGGACTGAAGATCCATGGCCACAGACATGCAGCTGAGCCTGAGGGGACCCCAGTACTGGCCTGACCCCCACAGCTGCAAGAAGGCCCCAAAACCTCCATCCCCCATCCCAGAGACACCGTCAGGGTGGGTTTTTCCTGTCAGTTCCTCTGGGAAGGCTCTTGCAGCATCACCAGGATGGCCCCAGACAGAGACCTGGCTCCAAGGGTGGAAGATCCCAGTCACCACTCCCTGTGCAAGAGCCTGAGCCAGCATCCAAGGACATCTCCACGTTCCTTCATGCCTGGACCAGAGCTCAGGCTGGCAGGGAGGAGCTGTCCTGAGCCAAAACCAGCATGGAGGCCCCCAGAGCCCGGGTGTGGGGCTCGAGGTTTGCCCTCTGCCCTCACTGCATTCCCCACCCAGCCCTTTCCCACTCCTAGCACTCCAGCAAAGCAGGGCCTGGAGGTGCTGATCCCTCCACCACGAGGCCAACAGCCACCTCCCCATGTCCCGTGTCCCCAGCAGGACAGGACATGCCCCAAGGAGGGGACTGTGACCTGCCCAGACAGGACAGGGAGCAGTCCCGGGATGTTCAGGAATGTTACCAGCATTTGTCTCCTCTTCCCCCTTCTCATTCCGTGTCTCTGCTCCCGACAGCTTCTCCTGGCCCTTCTCTGCCTCCCCCTTGTCCTTCTCAGGCCCAGCTTTGTTGGCTTTCTGGATGGATTCCATCTTTGGTCCCAGCACACGCGACTTCAACCGGGTGTAGACTTCAGCCGCTTTCTCCATCACGTCCTTGTTGGCTTTGTAGCGCCGGATCTGCCCCGGGGAGCAGCAGGAGGGACCCCCTTAGAGCTGGGGCCAGGCTGGGGGGCTCCCCGCTGGCCCCAGGGAGGGCTCAGCCCCCTGCTCTACCTTCTTGAGCGTAGCCACCACATCCGTGTGCTTCTGGAGGATGTGGGAAGTGACCTGCAGCGTGCCCAGCTCCTCGAGCGCGTTCAGACACCGCTTGATGTCCTGCACGGGGGGCAGCGGGGTCAGCAGCTGCCCCAGGGGCCTCCCAGCACCCCCAAACGGGGAGGAGGAGCATTCCTGGGTATCACAGCAGGGCGAGGATGAGCAGGGATGTCCCAGGCCAGGCCACACTCACCGGGTTATCCACCTTCAGCGCAAACTTGATCTCACTGTGAAGTTTCTGCAGTTTCTCTTCCACTGTGGGCTCTGGAGCAGAGAGAGAGACACAGGCCGAGATGTCAGGGCACCAGCAGAGCCCACGGATCTGCTCTGGGGCCTGGAATCACTCCCAGGCAGGGCTCTGTGTCCCCCTGCACTTCCAAAGCTGAGCACAGCCCCAGGAATGTCTCTGGAGAGCAGGGTTGGGGTGTGCCAAGAGAGGGAGGGGATGCCAGGGAAGTGATCCTGGGATCACAGCGGTGCTGGGAAAAACCCTGGCACAACCTCACTGATCCCTCCCTGTCCCAGGGCTGGGGGAACCAGCCCTGGAGCCCTCCCCTCTCTCTCCTCCCCTCTGTGATGGGAAGCAGTGGGTCTCTCACCCTTTTTCTTCTCCATCCTCCTTTCGGGGATCGGGTCGGATTTCTTCCGGCCCCGTTCCACTTTCAGAGGTCTGTGTGAAGGGAAGGAAAAAGGGAAGATGGTTGTGGTGAACCCTCTGCTCAGCACTGGGCTAACAAGGGGGATGGCACTGACTGGATGCTTCCAAGAGCCCTCCACCCTGGTCACAACTGCCCTGTGCCCCAGCTTCACAGAATGCAGACAGGAAAAGCCCCACGAGAAAGAAACCACCACAGAATGTCATCCTGGCAACCCCCAACAGCTCCTCCAGCCCCTTCAGCTCAGGAGGAGGGGAGGAACAGGCCCAGCCCCTCTGCAGGTGCTGCAGCCCCATGCCCACCCCGGGGTGCCAGGGCTGGAGCTGTGCAGGAACAGCCCCATTCCCAGGAGGAAAGGGGAGGGAGGGAGATGTGGAGATGCTGACTTGTTCCGTGGCTTCTCCTCTGCTCGGCCCCTCTTCTCCTTCTGATTTGGTTTCCTTGACAACTCCGAGGGCTGCTTCTTCACCGGCTTCTTTACCTTGGAGGAGAGAACAATGCAGGGAGAGCAGCAGAGCCCTCCCTGCTGTGGTGCAGACAGAGCCATGGCCACCCCACAGTCACCCCACTGCCATGGCACAGCAGCACCCCATGGTGCACAGTCACCCTACGTGCTCCCAAAAGCTCCAGGGGGACAGTGGAGCAAACCCCATGACTGTGGTGGAAGAACACCTTGGAGATCATGGTATGGTTTGGGTTGGAAGGGAACACAAAGCTCACCCTGTCCCACCTCTGTCAGGGGCAGGGACACCTTCCACTGTCCCAGGGTGTCCAAGCCCCATCCAACCTAGTCTTAGACACTTCCAGGGATGGAGCAGCCACAGCTTCTCTGGGCACCTTGTGCCAGATTGAGGCCCACAGCTGGATGAGGCATCCTGGGCCAGGGGAAGAGCTCCCACTCCAAGGCATGGCTACAACCCTTCCCAACACCACGTGAGCAGCTGCAGGCTAACCCAAGACTCCTGGAGGTCCTGATGGCCTGACAGGGAGGTGACAGGCTGTCCATCCACCCCCAGGCCCCCACAGCTCTGCACCCACCTCCTTCTCCTGCTCCAGCTCAGAGTCCGAGGAGGACGGCGCCTTGGCCCGGCCCCTCCGGCCCTTTTTGGCCGTTTCATCCTCGGCGCTGCTGTCCGAGTCTGAGTGCACCTCCTCGCCCTTCTCTGCCTTCTCCTTCCTTTTCTCCTTCTCCTCCTTCTCCTGCTCCCGGAGCCGACGGATCTCCTCCTCCTGCTCCCTCTTCCTCTTCTCCTCCAGCTCCCGCCGCCGCTCCTCGTCCCGCCTCTTCCACTCGCTGATGCGATCCACGTCGCTGTCGCTGTCACTGCCAGGACAGGGCAGGCTCGGACCCCTGCGTGACCCCCAGCCCGGCCCAAGGGTCACAGTGTCCCAGCTGAGCTCACCTGTCACTGCTGGAGCTGCTGGGGACACGCTCTGGCTTCGGTTTCCTGCCCCGGGGCTTGGGAGGGGGTTTCTCAGCTGCAAGACAACAGGGACACGTTCAGCAGGAGCCCTGCAGGTCCCTCTGGGAAAACAGCCACGAGTTGTAGAAGGGCTCTAGAATGTGCCCAGAATTCAGGATGGAACCCCAGAGCGTTGGGAATGCCTGAGCTGCCACACTGCCATCCCGAGGTGGAGGCAGGAGAGCAGGAGCAGGAGCAGGGGCAGAGGCAGGAGCAGCAGCAGGGGCAGGAGCAGCAGCAGGAGCAGCAGCAGGGGCAGGAGGCAAGAGCAGGAGCAGGGGCAGGAGCAGGGGCAGGGGCAGGGGCAGGGGCAGAGTCAGGAGCAGCAGCAGGGGCAGCAGGAGGGGCAGCAGCAGGGGCAGGAGCAGGGGCAGGAGCAGGGGCAGGAGCAGGGGCAGAGGCAGGGGC